ATCCGGATCAAACCTTAGGCACACCTTGGCACTATATGGGTTACATAATGACCACTCTACTAAAGACGTATCGATTGGTTTTCGCGACTAATAGATTTCATATAATTTTTGCCCTGGCTAGCTGTAATTTTGGGCACTGGGGTAAGTTGATATGCCATCTACGAATCTGACCACTCAAAGTTTATAGAATGACTCATTGGTTCACTAGTCTTCATTGATCTCCCCACTTTTCGCTCTAAGATGCTGGAGGTGTCTCAGGTAAGTTGGTAAAGCGATATACGATAACCATTCAGAGAAATGCCGATTGGTTTTACCGATTCAACGACATCGCAGCGCTCTGAGGTGGAATGTACGGAAGTTCAAACATGCTGATTTCAAATATTATTATATATTATTCAGAACAATATCTACTGCCTTTGATATAGCGGCTTTTTTTCATTTGCGTTCTACATATGTTAACGAGCTGAATTAAAGCAGTCAACCTGGGAAACGCAAAAGCACTGTCCTTTTTTAGGAAAAAAAAGCTAAGAAAGCTATTGGCCTAGGACTTTCTTAAAATTTAGTAAGTCTTCAACTTTTACCTGAAGAATTTTGCAGGTTTTCTCTAGGCGCACCATCTTCTGGCTGGTTTCTTCTAACTCCTTATCTTTTGACTCTACTTGCTCCTCTGCTTTTCTCAATCGCACGCGTAGCGTAGATATTTGTCGGTCCTTCTGGGCGATAGTTTTAGTCAAATCTTCGACCTGAAAGCAACAGGTACTAGTTAACCCTACATATTTTGCAACCGAAATTCATACCTGTTCGGCAATCGCTTTTTCTTTCTCAGCGCCGTCCTTCATTGCTATTTTTCTTTCTCGATCTAGCTGTCGTCGAATGCGCTGAACTCTTTCCTTTTCGGCCTCTTTTTCTGCTTCAAAATCGCGTACATCTCGTTGGAATCTAGCATAGGCCTCTTCTAGCTAAAATAATACTTATGTCTTTGGTAGGAAATATGAAAACTAGAAGTATACTTCTTTAGCTCTGATTTGCTGTTTGATATCAGCAAGATCAAGGTGTGCAATCACGTCTCGAAGCTGTCCTATCAGTTTTCTCTCCACATCTGTATATCTTGAGCCGTTATCTCTTAGTCCAAGCCTTGGAACCACATTAGGCACGTATGGAGTCTGCTCATTTTCTTGTAGTGCGTGATTGCGCTTGATCCGAAATGTTAAATGAGCTTTGCTCTGTCAGCCATGAGTGGATGTTTACTACCTGAGGTTGAACATTGTTGGATTCAATAGAACCTGGGCGTAGGTCCCTTTGCCGAATGAAACGTCCGCTTCTTAGACCTTGCTAAAACCTGCGATTTCCAGTCAGGCTTGTCGTAACAATAACAAAACGCATAACTCAAAAAAAGATGAGTTCTCACATTTAGCTCTTGAATCAACTCGTCGCTTTCTCTCGATTCGGTGAGACCATCACCTGAAAAAGGGCAACTGTTAAACACTTGATATCACAACCGAAATGTCCGCACACCAGAAGTCGTTATTAACACGTTTCAAAATAGCACAGAAGGCAACATAGGAGTTTGCTGGACTGTATCTCATCAAAGCTATGAAAAGACGGCATTAATTCATAGAGTGAGAGTTGCGGGTAATTCATAAATACCGAATTATAATATAAGGAATATGCACAAAAAAGAGAAAGCATTAT